CATTAACAAAAACACTAATTTCACCTCGCAGATCATCGTAACCTCATTCAAAGTGGACAGAAACTAAATAAAACTCAACAAAATTAGACTTTCCACCAACATTTTGCTAAATATGGTGGCGTTTTAAGAAAAAAGACTAAATTGTAAGATGGTAGGCACATTATCACCACTCTGATCGTACCATAAAACAAAAGACTAATGTCTCCGTCAGACCTGATACTAGAACACAATGCTCTAAACAGAGTGTGAATGTGCTTATTTCTGGCTGTATTCCTCATGTGTGTTTATGTGTGTGTAACAGAGTGAGTCGATCCGGCTTTAGCAGTAATCTCAGTGTTTCAGAGGGTGGCCTAGTTCACAGCTCCCATGTTTCTCCACTCAATTATCATTCCATCGATAACATCTGCTCCCCTCTCTGTCTCTCTCTCTCTCTCTCTCTCTCTCTCTGCAGCCCTGAATACTCGCTCTTTGTTCTTTTCGAGCTCGTCTTTCCTCCACCGCCATCTGTACTCAAATTAGCTTAAGGAATCAGAGCGGGCTCTCGATCATCTTAAGGGTGGCACAATTAAACATCTCCACTGCTGTTTTTGTGCCGCTGAGAGTCCGTGTGGCAGCTTCATTTAAAAAGGTGAATCCTCACATCCTGTTCAAACAGCTGGCGAATGCATGCTGTACCCCTCTGAAAGTGGAGAAAGTGTCTCTTAAGCAAATTACGTCTGGTTACGGTTGGCGCTCTTGATGTGTCCCTAATAGTCTTTGGACGATAGGGAATAAGATATATCAGGCTTTGGATACACACACAGTTCTTGTTAGGAGTGTTGTTAATTCAGTGTCAGTTTGGGTCTTTTTATGGAATTTATTTGACAAGAAACATAGAATATCACAAGATTTATCCCTTTAACTACCCTTCTGTCCACCTTACGTCCCCCAGCAACAAGGAGGCACTCGACTGCGATATTTCCTTTGCATTACTGAACATCTTGCACCTTGCATTTTAGCAAATATTTGAACAATTTAACAATGTTTTACGACTCTTCCGAACTCCCAAGAACCACCAGCACCAAAAGATTTGCAGCCCCCTTTAAAAGATTTATTTAAAATCTCAAATAAAAGAAAGAAAAGCCACTAACCTAACCCAGCTCTCAACCAGGAGAAGGGTTAAGCACAGATGCCACCCACCCCAACCGAACCTCATCAGTTAGCAGATCTATTCCATTTCACACAGAAACATGTTGGCTGGCAGTCTGGCTGGAAGTGGACAGAAAGCCTTCAGGGGCTGTGGGAACCCGGACAATCCCCAACTCCTGTGTCTAACCGAGTTAGATGTGAAAATATTCACGCTGTCGCTGCCTCTCTGATGCCCGACCTCCCTCCACCGCTGACACCTCTCACCATCCCCAGAGTCAGTACTGTGTTCCCTGTCCTCAAACTATTCTAAATAAACTCTTAATTCACAGTTAGATGAGGAAATATTCTGGCTCTGCAGATGTTTTTCCTCTCATTTGTTCTTCGGCTCAGTGTGCGAACTGTCCCTGAGCAGCAGCTCTCATTCTTCAGAGACAGGCCGCTCAATTAGCCAAATAAAATCACCAAAAAAAACAACCCTGATGGATCATCTGTCCAGTGCAATGTGGACTGTAACCGAGGTCTCTGAATATGTGTCCTCTCTTGTTTCTGTTTCTCATCCTCTCTTTGTTTCTCTGCGTCCTCCACTGTGACATTTCTTTATTTTCCCTCCCTCACCTCCTTCTGCATCTTTTCCTTTTCTGTCTTACCTTCGTTTTTGTCCCCTCTCTTCTGCGTCTCCCCACCGCCACCGTCCTCGCCTCCCCTCTGTCTTTAATCTCACTCTATCTTGTACCCTTTGATTTTCAGGTTGTCTTTCCTCTCTGTGTATATTCTCTCCACTTCAATTTTCTACTTCAACTTCAATCTTTGGTATTATTGGAAAACTCCTCTGCTCTTTTCTTTACCAGAACAATGTGTTAGATCTCGGCTTCTGTTTTCTCTCCTGCACAACTGGAACAGAAGTCATTACAACCAATATCAATACAGGGATCTAAACATGAGGGCTATCTGGTCTTGAGATGGACTGAGACCAGCAGATAAGGGACAGGTCTTCACTTTGGAGCAGCACATTTATTTTAATATTGGACTAAGGACGATAAAATATACCAACTTGACAAACTCTGATAAAAATATACAGGAAGCAAAGATAAAAAAAAATCAACATTTCAAGCAGCAGAGGTGAAAAAGAAAATTGAGTGACACCACAAACTGCACTGGATAGCAGATAAGATCCATCAAAGATGAGGTTGTTTGAAATGAACGTGCAACATGCTCCACAGCAACCTAACTACAACAGATCACCTTATTGATTACATCTGGCACTTTAAAAACACCCTCAGGTATTGGCACTTCAGACCAAGAACACGGGTTAATCGCGGTGCCATAATGTGCCCCACAGTCGGTGATGGAAACATGATGAAATCCTGGACCAGCTGTTGGTCTGCCACAGCCTCCGTCTCTGTAGGTTTTATGACTGCAGTGTGACTTCTGTGCTGGTCTCTGCTCTGCACACAGACACAGAGTGCATCTACTGTGTCGTATTGAACACAGCTGACTTCACACAGGGTATATAACCGGGGGAACTGCCTTAAATGTGTCTCATGGTATATGCACATAATTGTGTGCTTGCTATATAAAAGAGCCTTTAGAATAGTGTTCACTGAAATGCAAAAACTGTTTATAGTTGAGTTTTAACATTGGCTGTAGATTCTTTGTAGTGGTTTCCAACCTGGGTGTGGGGAAGCTCACTTGGGGTCGCCAAAACTTCACAAGGGGTTGTGAGGCCTTCTTGATTTTAAGGCGTGCTAGAAAACATACACACAGTAGGCCTATATCTCAGCATTTGGTTCACTTATGTGAAGAAAAGTGAATTTAAATGTGAAGTGAATTGTCTAATAGAACAATGGATGACAAGAAAACACTGAACTTGTCAAAAAAAGAAGCCTATTAAGTCTGTGTGATTGTTTGAAATGATACAAATACATAATACAGACAGAGAATTGTATACAAATCAGTTACAGAAACGTATACGTATAAAAGTGCAGTAACTCAGTTATGATGGAAATGTCTTGGTTAATTGGGAGCACAATTTATTGCATTTTATCCAGTAATTATTATGGATTTTGCATTTACTGAAACCAGTTTCCACCGATGTTAAAATGAATCTTGGTGGTTTATGTTGCAGCTGAAGTATTACTCAATATAATTCATCACAGAGTTGGACTTGAGTTGGTCACAAAAATAAGACTTGAGCCTTGACCGCTGTGAGATTTGAGTTACTTTGAGACTTGTTTATATCTATTATATCGTATGTTACAGTAAACACCTTCAGACATGTCCTAAAATAGCTCTGACAAGTTGGCCAAAAAGGGCAAAACCTAATTGTATTTGTTGTTTCCGAGGCTCCAGGTTTTGTAGCTGAATTGTTGACTGCCGGGATGGGAAGATTCAATTCTCTACAGCCAGGAAAAAATCTCCTAATAGTTAAGATAACAACGGACAAAACCACCCATCCAGCACAGCAATAATGTGACAAATAGTTTTGTAAAATAAGTTTCCCAAAGTTTGTTATAATTGTTATTCTTAAACTTATTGTGTGTGGAAGAAAATGCTCAGGCATTTTCGTGGCTACAGAAAGAAGTCATTTTGTGCAGAATTCTGTTCCTTCATTCCTTCTGGTTCAATACCCAGCAGCCAGCCTCTTTACTGTCGGTCTCCCCCGTCCTCCTCTGGAAGAATTTTTAGAGTCCCAGTGAAAAATGAAATTGATTTTTGCTCCTGTGTAGCTCAGTGTTTAAGCTCTTTCATTGTCTGCAATTATTGTATCGTTGGACTTTGGGGACATGGGAATTTCTCAACAGAAAATTACAAAACTATGAGACGAATGTTCTGACCAGTTAATCTGACCTCTGCAGTGTTTGTTCCGGTGCTTTAGAGTGTATGTTCAAATAAGGATGATGAACTTTGACTCCCAAAAGATGCCTGAAAATGTCTTCCACAAAACGACTCAAATGTTTTATG